ATACCAACTCTCCTGTAGTTTTTCTTCATATTTTCTTCTTTGCACCTCTCTGAGGTAAAGGATGTCTGCATCCTTCAATAGAAGTTGAATGGCAATATCTTCACGTAACTCTAAGCTTGGCTGGTGCTCCAGGTCATGTTCGTTGCAACTAAAGGATTCTGTGGTAACAATATCTTTCGATCTTTGCCAAAAAACTGGACCAAGAAGGTCCACACACGTATAGGGATCTACGACAGTGCCTTTGTTGCTGTGTGTTGACTGGGAATGCTGTGCAACGGTCTTGGCTGGCACGAAATAACATAGGAACGCGGACAAAACAGGATGAAATAAGAAACAAGAGAAGATAGAAGACATTACCAGACGATTTGGGAATACTACCTAAAGAACTGACATTGGTCGACCTTCAGTTAACGAAGTCCCGGCAAATTTTAGAATGCGCGCGAAAGTGGAGCTAGTTATACTATTTATGCGCTCGGACTGGGACGAGGCGGGGAATTGGTTTCTACACAGTTTAAAAACCAAATACTAAAAATTTTAATTCAATCCAACCATATTAAAAAAGGACTGTTGATTCGAAATAATTGATATTTACCAACTTCTGGGAAATTAAGGGTATTTCTTAGTCCATAGAAACCTTTCTCATGTTTTTCAAAGAATTAGCTAAATTATGGACTTGACTAAATGAAACTTTAAAGAGCAGATTTCAAGTGTCTTGTGCAGTGGAAAATTTTAGTGGTCATAATTTCCAACTGCAATTTGGAGGAGATTTTATTAAAAAAAACAAACAAACAAACAAAAAAACACTTGCCCGAAATTTGTTAGGAAGCATCCATAACCATATCGCTAAAACTTGAACCTAAGTAAAAAAAAACAAACAAACAAGACAGTTAGTACTTCGAATTTTAGCAGATGGCTATGCAGCGAAAAGATTTTTCTTGTAATTCAACTGCGTCTTGTAATCTTATCGTTATTAAGTTTACTAAGATAATTTTATCGTTACTAACTACGCTTATAAATTTCGATTGAATTGGCACCTTGCTGCACAAGTATGGAGAACAATTTTTTGGTAGCCTCGTTATGGGCGAAATTCTGATATTCACCCAGTATTGTACTGCATATCGGGACTTTAAAATCAGACTACATCAAAAACTTACTCAGAGCTCTATCTCCATCTGGCATTTTATTGCAATTTTCTGTACCGGCTTCTTCACTTCCGGAATTTACTAGGAGAATTGACAGAATTTTGAAATTAGTACACGTGGATAAACATCGTTCTTTATTTTAAGACGAATTTCGACTTTCGTCATTTCTATCTCCCTCCACACAGGACATTAATAATACTTGACTATTAATCTTCATAGTATGCATTACCTGAGCAACATTTAAACC